ATAGGTTCCCATCTGTATGGTGTGTTCTTTGAAATGGATGACTGGTGTTACAATGTTGATTTAAAAAAACCCATTAAGAAAAGATGGGTGGATGGCATTTGATATTCGATGCCTCTGTGGGGATATCTGAGCCTTGAGGCAATCAATGTAAGGAACACTGTATTACGTTGTTGATGACGTCGGTATATGTGTTTGCGCCGACGTAAGACAACTAGCTCTAGCATAACTGAAGCTCATATTGCCTTTGTGATAATGTTTAAAAAGTGATCTCCGTATTGATTGATCATATATCACCTTCAAACGCAGTCAAATAAGCTGATTATTATTTTTCTTTCCCCCAATCGTTCCCGCTGAAGAAATAAGCTGCTCCACAAACTGTTAAAAGGGGACTCTATCATGCTAACATTGGTCAGTTTGGGTTTTTACGTCTGTTGTATATGAACATGTGCCGCCGTCAGGGATTCCCAGGGTGTCAGAAACGTCACCCCTCTCTTTTTCTCCATTAGCGCACTCTCTTAAAACGGGCTGCAACGACTCTGTAGTCGACTGGGATCTGCAGGATTGTGACACTTCGTATGAGTGTCACAGAAGTGGCGCTACGCTGCTATTGGCTCAGTCCATGCAGGAAGGAGGCGCCACGCATGCCGTTCGCACGCTGAAAACTGCGGTGTAGTACATGATGCCAGGGCCTGGTAGATGGTGTGTTCTCAGCGAACTCGCCGGATGAAAAGGACAGTGGCTTTTTAGTGAATGAGAGTGTTGTATCCGAGAAATTCTTATGTGATGTCGCTCTTCTCTCTCTCGCTCGCGCTCGGCTTTGAGACTATGCAGTTTGTGGTTTACGTCTCTCAGTTTAGTATTCGGCGTTTGCGCCGTCGAGATATGTTCACGTTACTTGCTTCTGTGCTGTGCCTTGTGTGAAAACTTTTATCGTGATTTAGGTCCAACTTTCATAGCTCCTGCTACGCAGCTGTTTCACTTGAAATTAGTCCTAGTCTCTAGACCACAATGCTACAATTTGTTGAGTGTATATTGATATTTCAGTGCTGGGAAGGATTGAATCACGTTTTTTAGATGTAAAAGGTAAGGACCATTGACTATCGCTGGGAATACTATTGACTTGTCCTTCGTTGGATTGTATTTTGATATGTGTATCTTTCGCGCTCGCTGATTAGGCAACACTATGCGCAGCTTCATTCGGCGTCACACTGCTATCCAGGGTGTCATGAGAGCTCTCGCTCCTTTGCGGAATTGTCATTATCAGATTTAGATAGTCTCCTTACAAGGTCAATCTTTTGTCTCATGCTCGCAAGAGCTAACTCTCAAAGTATTGTTCACATTTACGATGTTACATAAGCCTGTTTTTTGTGGAGGGAACTTGACTGCGCACTGTGCACGTGTGGACAAC